CCTTGTTCCAATTTAAAACTGCTTAGAATTCATTTCAAGAGCATTTTGCTGTTTGATCTTGACTAACTTCTCAGTGACTCATCTGAGTAAAAAGATAAAGCCAAATCATAAGATCGTTTGAGAACAGCTGAGTTATGGCTCAAAAGATAGAGAACTGGCCTTGCATACTCCATGCCCTGGTTTAATTAATAGTACTACAAAAACTAGTGAGAAAGAAGAAAAGAAGAGAGAAAATAGATGAAGAGAAGAAGAGAGGAGATGAGAGAAAAGGAGAGGAGAATAGAGGAGAGGAGAGGAGAAGAGAGAAGAGAAGAGAAGACAAGAGAAGAGAAGAGGAGAGGAAAAGAGAGGAGAGGAGAGAAGAAAAGAGGAGAGGAGAAGGGAGGGGAGGGGAGAGGAGAGGAGGGGAGGAGAGGAGAGGAGAGCAGAAGAGAGGAGAGGAGAGGACAGGAGAGGGGAGGGGAGGAGAGGAGAGGAGAAGACAGGAGAGGGGAGGGGAGGGGAGGAGAGGAGAGGGGAGGAGTGGAGAGGAGAGGAGAGGAGAGGAGAGGAGAGGGGAAGGGAGCAGAGGGGAGGGGAGGGGAGGAGAGGAGAAGTGGACAGAAAAGGAAAAATGCTTCAGAAATAAGTAACATGATTCTTGAAACTGTTCCCTCATGTGTTGACAGATGTAAGAAGCACCAAGTGAAACAAATGTTAACTACTTCATTTGAAACATTGACTTAAGGCAAATTTACATTATGTAGACATATCCTGGGTGCATAGTATAAGGTTTGAAATCATGTAACTCCATATAAACAACTCCAAAATCAAGGTATTTTCACATCTTCTGAGTTTTTTCTAACTTTCTTTTTAGGAGCTCTGCTCCTCTCCTGAGAAAACAACTTTGTTTCTTTTCCTTTCACAGATTCTCGTTGTGCCAGGTTTAGATTTAGTTGTGCCAATGGAACCACAGACTCTGATGTTGAAGATACTTAACACAAAGTGATGTTTGTGAGATTCACCAAAAATGTAGTACATGTGGCAAAAGTGTACGTGTATTTCTGAATAACAATGCATTGAATGAATATCTGCAACTACTTAATCATCTATTGATTGAATTTGAGTTGTTCTGAGTTTTCCACTGTAACTGATCTTATTTAATTTTTCTTTTTTTGGTCTGGGTTACTTAAGAGGTATATACTTATCTTTATAATAAGCTTCTAAACTTCTCTCAAGCATGTTCATTCCATTTTGTACACTCCTAGGAATATGTGAAATTTCCAATAGAATATATTCTCCTTGATGGTATGATGGGACTTGTTTTTATTATCTATATGTAGTTGTACAAAGGAGTTTCTATTTAGCAAAGAAGTTTATGAATACAATGTGTCTTGATCAATGTCACCCCTTTCAACATTCTCACCCATCCTTCCCAACAAAGCCTTCCCTCTCTTTTCTTAATTTTATAGGCTAAATGTTGTTTTTTTTTTTTTTACTTTATTCCTGGTCTTTTTCATTTATCTACTGTTCTCCTCTTGACCCACCCCTTCAAATACCTACTTCCACCTGCCGTTTATTTTGCTATACTTCAACTTTGCCTTTCTGAGAAATTACACTATTTGAGTTTTCCTTTGATTCTATTATACTTCAGTTAATAGACTTGTATGTACTTGGATACCACCTAATGTATTTACTTATAAGTTTCTAAGCTAATTCTAGATTCCACATGTAAGCAAAAACATGCAACATTTCTCTCACTGGGCCTGGCTTATTTCACTTAACATAATTTTTCAAGACTTGTGAAAAGGACTTTGCAAATGATACAATATCATTCTTTCAAATGGGTGAGTAAAATTCCATTGCGTATGTATAAGACATTTTCTTGACTGATTTGTCCATTGAAGGGCATCTGGGCTGATTCTATATCTTAATTATGGTGAATAGTGCTGCAATGATCATGATTGTGCTGGTGACTTAACTGTATCCTTTTTTATAATTTTTGTATATATGCCTAGGATATTTGATTTTTTAAGATATTTAATTTGAAGGCATGTGAAGTACAACTGTGAAAGCTAGATATAATGTGATGCTAAATGGACCACACACATATTGACTATTTCTATATCTTTTATTGTAACTGATCAATTAATAGTTCATTAAAATTGAATTTAAGTTTATCATTTTATTAATAATTATGTTTTCTGAATATACTTTTCTTACTTGCATATACACATATATATGTATACACAAACAGAAACAATCATATTTTTCCAAGTCTTTAATTTGTTCTTCTATTTATTTAAAAATAGGGATCATTTTTTGATAAAATTCCATTTTTCTGTTTTTCTCTTGGGAAATACTATTATATGATAACCAGTCTAGATGATTTTCTATTTTCACAGAAAAATGCCATAATTTCAACTCTTTCATGTTGTTTTATAATAAATATCACATGAAGTTATGCGTGTTGTGGGAAAGGTATACACATATGTATTTAAATTGGATCCTATTTCATAATAACATTTATTGAAAAATTATTCTTCATCATTAAATAATCTTGACATCTTTCCTTAAAAATCACTTTGCATTCATTTCGCTTAACATCATCTTATATAGTCATATGTACATAGCTTTTGACCTTTTCTGCCTGTCCTACACATGTACTAGTTATTGCAAATAAGGGAAACCTTATCCTTTTTCTTTCTTTCTATTGTTTCTAATATATTATAATGTACCATGTGATTTTTTTGTTTCTTTGTTGTTCCTCCCCCATGGTATAACCCCTGCTTTCACCAGTCGGCTCCCTGCATCTTGTATATACACATCTGTAATTTGGGGTGGGGTAGGGCAAAAGCAAAGTGCTTAAATAAGGATACAGGTTGACCCACTGTAACAATGAGATGTACAAAACATTATGTTGAAAACGAGGGGTGGAGGACTGGGGGGTGGGGGCAGTTGTGGAGGTGAGAAGGAAGGGATGGTAGGGGAAAAAACAAAGGAGGAGGCAACAATGCTCAATAGGAAATGTACTCATTACCTTGCTCATGTAACTGTAACCCCTCTGTACAGAATTTTTACAATAAAAAAATACAAAAAATCAGTTGGCAGTATGTGTATAGATCAGTTTGTTAATTTCTTCAAAAATCCTGCTGGGATTTTGATTGATAACTTGTAATAAAATGCATCAATTTGGAGAGAGTGCTCATCTCCACAACATTTAATAAGCCCTTAGATAAGGTCTTTCTTCTCTTTGCTGCTCATTAGCTTCTCAAATGTTATGTAGCCACAGGAATTAGGCTGGAAATATTTCAAATCTTCCCTAGCCTTAACTAAATATTCGAATTTTGGGTAGTGTTTTAAATGGCATTATTTGGTGTTAAATTTAGTTTCTACTTTGTGATTGAGTTTTTATGAGACAATTGATTTTTTTAAAGCATTGATGTTTTATCTTGTTTGTTTTCAAATCTTTTCTAGGCTTTTCTTTGACCTGGATGAAATACAAACTTCTTTTAAGATGTCTAAATCTTTAAGAATTTTGACATATTGCTGGCATTGACTTTTACCTTAAGGCCTCCTTGTTTTGTGAAACATTTTTTGTGAGAATTGGATCATTTAAAGTTACTGTTGCAGATTTTGTGATCTTACCTAGTGAGTATTCTATATGCACATGGAATAAGTGAGTGCTGTACAGATGTTGAGGTAATACTGTAGAGGTATCTATTAAGTTGTATTGGCAGATAATTACATGTCTGCTGTTTCCTTCCTTGGGAACTATTTTCCCCCTCAGTTATGGGAAAGATGTATTATAATCTTCTCAGTTAAGAACATTCTGTCCACTTTTTTCTGACCTTCAATGGCTCTGCATTCAGGATTCATACATGTTCTTACACTGATGATAATAATATTATTATATGTTACGGATATATTTTTCCATCTACATTTGCGCACAGTAGGTTCGTGGCATATTAGAATTTCATCCTTTACCTTCAATCTTGTCTGCCTTTTTATTTTTATTTTTTTTTTTATTGTGAAAATACTGTACAGAGGGGTTACAATTACATGGGCAAGATGAGTACATTTCTTATCAAGCATTGTAGCCTCTTTTGTTTCCCCTTCCCATCCCTTCCCATCCCCTGCCATCTAATCCTCCTCCCTCCCCCGCCTACCAAAGTTGTAAAGTTCGTTTTTCCACATACCGACTTGTACATTTCATTGTTGCAATGGATCCACCTGTATGGAAAGACTTGGAAAAATTATAATAAGTGAAGTAAGCCAGGCCCAAAGAAACTTAGGTCCCATGGTTTCCTTTATTTGCAATAACTAGTATATGTCTGAGTCAAGCAGAAAAGGTCAGGTAAGTTGATTTAGGGAAATGAACCCTAAGATATATATTCAAATGTTTTTATTTTCTTTCAGGTGATTATTTCTAACACATTTATAAGATTACTTCTTTATTGCTTTGTATGTCCCTCCCCCATGGTATAACTCCTGCTTTCACTGTATTTGAGGTTGGTATAATTTTTGGAGGGGAAGGGAAAAAACAAATCGTTTAAATTGTCTGCATTTTTTAAAGCTTTCCTCTTATGAGTAGCTTACAGTTGGTTCTTGACATTATTTGTCTGATAGCCTCTCAAACTTCTCTTGCATAGTCCATTTGGAATTACCGTGATTTAAAAAAAAATATTGTTATCCTCAATACTTTTTTCTTTATTGTACATTTTATTTTATTTTTTTGTCAGTCGTGGGGCTTGAACTCTGGGCCTGAACTCTGTCCCTCAGCTCTTCACCTCAAGGCCAGAGTCCTACCATTTGAGCCACAGCGCCACTTCCAATTTTCTTGTGGTTAATTAGAAATAAGATTATGATGGACTTTCTTTCTTTGGCAGCTTTGAGCCATGATCCTCAGGTCTCAGCCTCCTTAGTAGATAGGATTACAAACATACCACTAGTGCCTGGCCTGCCCTCATTTTTTATAACTTTTTTCTCCTTTCTCTTTTTTTTTTTTTTAAAAAAAAACTACACACATTGTATTTATTTGTGAGACAGAGAAACAAACAAACAAAAAAAGGACCCAAGAGTGAACCAGGCCCAAGCCAGCTCCTCATTTGTTCTTGGCTGCCAAAGGTTTCCTGCTGATCTTCTTGGATTTGTCATTGTTCTTCTTTGGGGGTTCTGGGTTCGCCTGCATGTGTCTGCCATAGAGGTACTTGTATGTTTCAGAGCGAATATATTCGAAGACATGGGAGACACCAAGCTGGAACTGGTTAGCAATTGGGGTTACCCAGGGGTTGTTCTCTGCTTTGAAGACTTGTTTCTGACCAGTTAAATCCAAGTTTCCTAATTCTGGGGGCAGAACTGTCAGGCGGTTCCCCTGAATGTGGAGCTCTTTAAGCTGGGTCAGCTCCCCGATTTCCTTTGGCAGTGAGATTAGGTCGTTATCCCGAAGGCTGAGTATCTGCAACTTCGTGAGCTTCCCGATATCTGGAGGCAGGATTTCAAAATCGTTGTCACTTAGATAGAGTGCACGCAGGGTGGTAAGGTAGAAGAAGTTTCCAGGGAGAGATTGTTCATTTAAGTTGTTATAAGTCAAATCCAGGACCTCAAGAGCTGGAAGAGAGCCAAATCCTCGAGGCAGGGTGTTCAGCCTGTTCATGCCAAGGTTTAGGTGTTTGAGTTTCTGAAGGCTGCTGATCTGTGTGGGCAGCTCCTCAATCTGGTTATTAAAGAAGTTGAACACCTCCAAATTCTTCAGTTCTGCTATGTTTGGGGGCACAGTTGTTAATTGGTTGTGGCTGAGGACCAGTTGTGTGATATGAGACAGGGTGAACAAGCCGTGGACGTCCAGCATGTTGGAGATGCCCCGGTCGCTCATGTCCACTTCCGGCTGGTTCTTCTCCCGGCTCTCCTCCACCGGTGACACCCCCCGGGGCACCCCGGGTCCGCGTCCCGGCGCCCACCCGCCCCTCATCGCCCACGGGCTCTGTTGTCGTTTGCTCCAGAACAAACATGTCCAAGTCTCTTTTTTTTTTTTTTTAAAGAAAAGAAGTAGTGCTGAATATTAGCTATTCAGCTATCCTTCTTTATATTTTTACCTGTAATTGATAGTCTAGAGATTAAGATAGTCACTTTCTTTTTGTAAAAAATTTTTTCTCCTATTGGATACTTCTATTTATTTATTTTTCTTTTTTTATTGTGAAAATACCATACCTCCCCCATCCTTGTGCCAAAGTTGTAAAATTTGTTTCTCGACATAATGTATTTTACATCTCATTGTTGCAATAGGTCCACCTTCTCCTTCACAAATTACACCTACATCAAATACAGTGAAAACAAGACCATACTAAAGCTACCAGCACAACTATGTTTATTGCAGCATTATTTACAGAGCTAAGAGATGGAACCAACCCAGATGCCCCTCAGTAGATGAATGAATCGAGAAAATGTGGTACATGTGCACAATGAAATTCTGTGCGTCCATCAGAAAGAATAACATTGCCCCATTTGTTAAGAAATGGAAAGACTTGGAAAAAATTATCTTAAGTGAAGTAAGCCAGGCCCAAAGAAACATAGGTCCCATGGTTTCCCTTATTTGCAATAACTAGTATATGTCTGAGACAAGCAGAAACCGTCAGATAAGTTGATGTTAGGCTAAATGAACCCCAAGATAAGGACTCAAATGCTTTTTTCTTTCTTGCTATTGTTTCTAACATATTTATAAGGTATTCACTTTCAAGTGCTCATTCTTTTTTTGTATTAATGTAAAGACTGCACATGTGCGATATGGAGAATTTATAACAGAATAACCTGACCTAAGTTAGCCCTTTGCAATTAAATGCCATATATGACACTTCTATGCATGTTCTAAATCTTATTGTGTATTTGGGTTTACTTTTTGATTTAGAGATTTCAAAAGATGAAATATAAATATGAAATATAAATATATGCTATATTTACCCACATGTTTATCATTACCAGAATTCTTCACTTCTTGCTGAGTCAGAATTCCAGATGGCATTATTTTCCCATCAGCATAAGAAATGCCTTTATATTTTCGTGTGCATATTGGCTGGTGATAAATGCTCCTCAGATTTGGTTTACTTAAAATATGTGTATTTTATTTAATTGAAAAATGTTTTCACTGCAGAGAAAAATACTTGGCTGAAACATATAGGATTTTTTTGTTTTTGTTTTAAATTTTGTTCTGTTTTGTTCTGTCTTTTAGAACTTTCAAACGTTTATCCATTTCTTGCTCTTTACAAAATTGTTATTACCCTTTGTACAATTATTTAAATTTTTCTTTTACATTTTACAATATACAGTTAGCCTTAAGATGTTTCAATAACATGTATTTATATTGGCTTTTTCTCACTATTTTTTAAAATTTGCTGAGAATTCTGTTTTTGATGAAATCTCAAAATATTTACCTAACATTTCTTCAAATATATAATGTTCCTATTTTATCTTTTCTCTCTTCAGTCTGTAGTATCCAGTTACATGTACTCTACAATTGGATGTTCTAGATCATACTGGGGCTTGGATACATTTTTTGCTTTCTTGGATACACCTTGAATTATTTATATTGAACTTTAATCATAGTGATTATAATTCAACATGCTTTTGCATCTGTTAATACAATTTCTTAAAATGCATTTTATTTTCCAGTTTAATCATTTCCATTTATGTGTGTTGATGCCTGGTTAAGAATATCTACTTCCATCCAATCTATATTCATGTCTCCATATGTATAGAGACCTACACTTCCTCATACATACATAAATGTAAAAACACAGATGGAGAAAAAAATGTTTCCACATCTTTTACAAGTGTGAGTTTTTATAGAAGGAGAATTTGTGATGTGGAAAAGGCAAGAATTGTGTTTCTGCATCATCTAACCTGCATAGATCAGGTGAGGCAAGGTCTACTGTCTGGATGAAAATTTTCCTTCTAAACACTCCAAAGAAAGTGTGCTTTGCTCTTCTATAACAGATGCAAAGTGAAGCCCCAAAGTATAGGAGAGAAGTAGGAAGATAGACATACTGGGAAATACTTGTAGAATCTCTTGTCTCTTCTATATATGCACATATATAGTCTCTCTATATAGTCTCTATATATTGTGTATATATATTAACTTCATATATATATATTAGCTGCATTGAGTTTGTTCTTAGTAGCTGAGTGCAAAATAATGATGGAGGTTTAGGAGTTTTGAGGAATAAAGGCCTCTACTTAGGCATACACATAATATGGAAGAAAACAGAGCATGGGAAATGTACAAGGGTCGGGGCCCTGGATATCATTAGGAGTCCAGGTGAGACACATTAATGCGATTTGAAGGGCAGCTGGTCAACAGGAGTGCTTGACTCCAGCTATGTTTAGCTGCAGAAAAGAAGTAGGGGATTATAGTTTCCCACGCTTACTGCTTTGCCCTATGAGTATAATAAAGGGATAAGGGAGTGTGAAAGGAAATACAATAGTAAGCCATGGAATTTAATCTGCTAAAGGAAGGATGGAGGGTATACCCAAAGATAGAAATGTGGTTAGATCACTGGATCATTAAATTTTATGTTGGGGTAAGGTTGAAGAATTGATGGAATCATAGTGCTCAAGTGAGTGAACTGTAACTTAGCAGATGGCAGACATTAAGTGGGAGAGTTTGAGATTGCAGAAGTTTAACATTACTGACACTATCATGGACAGGATAGAATCAGGATTGGAGGATAGGAGCTCAAAATTTCACATATCAACTTGTCAGAAAGATTGTCTACTGTGTTTGGGGTCATCAAATATAGAAGTGTAGATTTAATATGATATTGAAAACTGGAAGCTTTAAGAAAGGAGAGCAAAGTGCTCTAGAAGGCAATAGGAACAAGAAGTACCTTTATTCCATTGCTAGGTAAAATAGTAAGGGTGTTATTAGAGAAAATACATTTACAAGTTGAGAAGACTGCAGGGAAATGAATTTTAGTTTTCATTTAAAGTGCTATAAAAAAATAATTAGAAGAATGGGGAAGACTGCCAGTTCAGAGTAGCAAATTCTGGGATGACAGATGAAGAAATGCACATATAGGGATAACTCAGAATAGTTTCTGAAAGAATTAATATTCCAATTACCACCATGGGGCAAAAATGAGTTTAACTGAAAGATATAGCTAAGCTGAAGATGACTCCTCCAATCTCCACTTTATATATTCAAATTAGCTCAGAACAGATGCAAGAGAGTTACAAGAAAATAGACAAAAGTATACATTCCAAGTGGCAGATGACAAAAATCAGGAAGCACATAAGCAGAATTGGTAAGGGATCCTTGTTAAGATAAGTATGTAGAAGGACATCCTGTAATTTGTCTGGTATTAATGCAAGAAGTCAAACTCTCACAATCCTGGGTCTTTAATTAGACATAAGACAAACAACTATGCAAACAGTGGTTTTCCACTGGTATCATTCATACTTCAAGCACAGAGTCAAATCTGCTGCCTATCAAAGTCTCCTGATGGCTCTAGGGTTTCCACAAAAGATGGTATAGGAAAAGAGAAAAATGAGTTGTGATTGGTATACTGTTATAAACAAATATTTCATCTCAGTGGGGAGACTCTATTGAGGAACTGTGGAGAAGATGTCTGAGACTGGTCACACAAAAAGGTGAGAGATCAGCGTACTATTCTTTCATTTTATCTATCACTTTTTATGGTGAAACCCTTTCTCAATATCAGGTCAAATCCTCAGGCAGAAATAGAAATAAAGAAGGAAGAAGTTAAAGATGTCAAAATGCCAGGAGACTGGTGATAAAGCTTTGATTAAATACTGATGTGGGCAGATGAATGATGGCCTAAAGTATAAGTACCATCCCCTCACTATCCGCAGCAAGCATACATTTTTCCACCTTGTGGGACTCTCTCTCTCTCTCTCTCTCTCTCTCTCTCTCTCTCTCTCTCTCTCTCTCTCTCTCTCTCTCTCTCTCTCTCTCTCCCTTCCTCCCTCCCTCCCTGCCATCTCTGGTTCTGTCTAGAACCAGTCTTGCTATGATCTTAGGTAGCTGAGATTACTGGCATACTGGCATGTACTTCTATACCATGCAAAGTCTCATTCTCTTAATGGAGTACTTCAAAATGAAAGCCACCTAAACTCTTTAGAGGATATAAAATGTGAGAATTAATGGAATGCATTTATATAACAGATATTACAATCCTAAACCAACACTTGATCTTCATCAGTGGATTTCTTTCTCATTGTTAACATATATTGTCCAATCAATTTATGGTATGATTTATTTGTAAAGGTTTAGATCTCTGATCAGATTACACTTGTCAGGTGTGCTCTGGTGGTGCAAGCTGTCATTTATTGCTTGAATAGAAGTTCATACACAAAAACATTAAGAAAAAAGACTCCGTATGTTGCAAATCTGCTCTTCCCCTGTTCTGATTTTACTGTATCAACCTCAATTCCTCTAGATATATAAGATAATTGCCCATACTACCCCTGCTTATATATTTCTCCCTCTAATTTAACAAAGAACACCCATGAGAAACTCAATTAATAGTTGCTGTCCTTTGTGGACCACAACTTTTTTCTGCACTTTAAGATTGGAGGATGCTCTTTGGTTAAGTTTATGATAATGTATCACCATCTACCATGATTTATCAAGGTCTTGCAAGCATAATTGAAGTGAATTAAATAGCAGCGTGATAATATCATCCTACAACCTTTAAGATTTGGGTTATCATCAATGGTAATTTCAACTGGTATTTGGTACTACTTATGACATTCTATTGTCCAATAGTGGAAGATAATAATGTGGGCCTCCACTTGGTCTTGCATATATCAAATAACAGTTATGTCATAGTTCGGTTGCCAGTTAGGTCCATTTGGTATAGTTTGAATATCCCCCATGAAGTCCATATGTTGGAAAAT